GGTCACAAGAGTCAGTGTTGTGTAATATTGGACTTTAAATCATGAAGATGTGTTTTCATGTGTATTCTGTTTGTGTGTTCATGTGTGGACACTGTCACATGTTGTTTTTGGCACTACAGTTGTTAGTAGATAGTGGGATAATTGTGGCATGTTCAGGTTCGATTATATTCTGTTGTATTGGATCTGTTCATTCATGTGCAGAAGTGAATGAAAACCACAAGCAGCATGTGTCTGATGAAGACTTTATTGGCCAAACCCTGTCATCAGCCGCTGTGATAGAGGAAAGACTTTTTAAAAACATTTCTAAACAGATACAAGAGTTTCTTCTTTTTTCTGTTGTCTGGTTTCCTAAATATTTTTGTGATTTTTTTTTTCCTTCAAACAACCACATAGTATTTACCCGGCGTGTTCCTGAGCTGTCAGGAGCCGTCCAACTGCTCAAAATAAATCTGAAATCAATCATAAACTCTGAAATAGTGAAGTTGATGAGTGTAATGTGGAGAGGGATACTTCCTTTTGTTCACTTCAACACAGATGTGTGTTTATCCACACTGTTTGTCTTTTGACTTCTTGTGCTCACACATGTCAGTTCTGACATTTATTTACTCGTGTCGTTTCAGGGGCCAGACATCTAAAATGGGAGGCAAGCTGAGCAAAAAGAAGAAGGGATATAATGTGAACGACGAGAAGTCCAAAGACAAGGACGCCAAAGCGGAGGGCGGCGCGGCGGAGGAGAGCGAAGCTCCCAAAGAAAACCAGGAAGAGAGCGCCGCCGCCGACGCTAAAGACGTGGCTAACGATACGGCGGCTAAAGACGCCCCGGCCCCAGACGCTGCGGCTAAAGCGGACGAGAAGAAAGAAGAGGCTAAAGCCGCTAACGCCGAGCCCGCCGCAACCGAGGAGAAACCGGCCGCTAAAGCTGAGGAAAAACCAGCCGCCAAGGAGCCCGAGGCCAAGACTGCGCCACCTGCTGCAGCGGAGGGCAAAGACGAGGCCAAAAAGACTGAGGCCCCCGCGGCACCAGCCACCAAAGCTGAGCCCAAGCCCACGGAGGCAGCACCCGCTAGCGCGCCCGCCAACGCTAAAGAGGCTAGCTCCACACCAGCCGCAGAGCCCCCCGCCAAGGACGCCAACGCCACAGAGGCGCCGAGCAAGGATCAAACCGTAGCAGTTCAAGATTAATGGACAGCTCTTTTGGGAAATTGAAGTCAACAATGTCAAACAAAAATCTGAAGATGATTAAGTCGCCCATGCATATTCTGATCGGAGATTAACAATAATAATAATAATGTTCAGATATGTGGAGACAACTGGACTCGAGACACCACCTAGAGGAGAACCCGCACACTGCTGCACATGGGACTATTGCTATTATTATTGTTAGCTTTTACTTCTTTTCTGATGTAGTATTTGAACTTTGGTACGAGTCTGTTTTGAGCTTTTCATTTTTTCCATTTCCATCCATGACCTTCCCCCCAAACGTCCCTCCAAAACCGACCACAGGCACACGAACCCAACGCTCTCGTCAACTTGAGAAACCAAGTTCGTCTAATCTCATCGATAATTGTGACCAGGGCCTTTCCATTTGCAAATAAAACTCTAATGCTAATACTGATTTCAAATAGTTTATATTTTATTTAGGAACTGCAACGAGAAAAAAGAACAAAGTCATATTTCTATAAATAAACTTTAAAACACGCAAGCATGAAAATATTTGTACTATTCTTGAAACGTGATGATGATTCTTTGTTAATATTATACTAATAATGCATTCTGACGCATGAATCTTCTTATAATCAACCCGAATTATTTATTAAATTCTGTACCAATCTTGACGTATTTTTCAGTTTTTGCAAATTCTAATGCAATATTTCTAGATCTAGTTTCCTTCACGGCGAGGTGACCGTCATCTACTCCGACTTTTCACGCATAAGTTTGACTCAAGTCTGTGGCACATATTCTTTTTCTTCATCTCTCTTTTCAAATATTTCCTTTTTCTGAACGTTTTCTTCAAAGTCCAGATTTCCACGTCTTTACCAGCAGTATTCATCTCTAGAATAACTTTTATTTTATACTCTGAAAATTATGATATCGTCAAAAACAAAACACACCTTTGGCACTAAACCAAATGTAGACCAATAAATCAGAGGTAGACATTTTTCAAAAGAGATTTTTTATGAAATCATTAAAGTAGATTTTTAATATTTGTAATTAAATCTACAAATCCGTTCTGTCTTTTACAAAAAAAAATACAAGATTTTTTAAGTAGATCTTTTAACATTTACCTAGAACTTAACTTTGCACATTAGTTACATAAATTAAAAACGTCTAAATTTAGCACAATACAAATTTTGGAGATACCAGTTGAAAAGTTCACATTTGCCAAGGACTATTTGAGTACGAATCTCGCTGCTTAGCCCCAGATCTTTGCGCCTGTGTGGTATCAGCGACATTCCACATCACAAAGGCCTGTTTATTTAGCGAAACCTCTGGAAATCCGAAAGAATTCCCTCATTTTCTCATCCATGTTCACCTCCTCCTCCTCCTGCGTCCCTCACAGCACATATGGACTGCACACGTGGGCGGCTGCACTGTAAAAAAAAAAACGCGCTCAGAACTGCATGGAATCCTTTAGGTCCTTAATCTGTTCAGCAGAGGTGGGCAGGACTCGTCTACGTTACATTTACTCGAGTGTTTTTAGTCCTACTCGAGTCATTTTTATTGATTTGAACGTTTGTGTTTCTTGCTCCGCTCCTTCAGATAACGTTTGGTTTTTCACATTTTTGTGGTTCGTCCTTTGAAAACATTTTGTGGATTATTTCAAATACACCAACTTCAAATTCTAAATCAAAATGTCACGTCCAGACAGTTTTCCTAGAGTAGTAGTCTGTCCCCAAATACAGACTAATACAGTGTACTTCTGTTTAAGTAAAAAATAGTAACAATTCTGAAGTAGCAGTACTTTTAATCAAGTACAATTTTGGCTTATCTGCCCACCTCTGCTCTTCAGCCAGTACAAAATACAAAATGCTATTTATACAACACAATACTAGTAGTATATCCCCAAATACATCGTCATTTCTTGGACCTTTACTTTGTACTTTTACTTCAGTAATAAGTAATTATTTTGAAGTAACAGTACTTTCATTCAAGTACAATTTTGGGTTTTCTACCCACTTACAATACTAGTAGTTTATCCCCAAATACATAGTCATTTCTTGGACCACTACTTTGTACTTCTACTTGAGTAATAAGTAATAATTTTGAAGTAACAGTACTTTTACTCGAGTACAGTATTGGCTTCTATACACACACTTCTGCTATTCCGTCAATACAAAATACAAAATGCTATTTATACAACACAATACTAATAGTATATCATCAAATACATCGGAATTTCTTGGACTACTACTTTGTACTTGTACTTGAGTAATTGTTTTGAAGTAACAGTACTTTCATTCAAGTACAATTTTGGGTTATCTACCCACTTCTACTATTCAGTACAATACTAGTAGTATATCCCCAAATACATTGTAATTTTTTGGACTACCATTTTGTACTTCTACTTGAGTCATTTTGAAGTAACAGTACTTTTATTAGAGTACAATTTAGCTTATCTTCCCACTTTTACTATTCAGTCAATACAAAATGCAATTTATACAATACAATTCTAGCAGTACATCCTCAAATACATTGTCATTTTTATGGACTACTACTTTGTAATTCTACTTGAGTAATTATTTTGAAGTAACAGTACTTTCATTCGAGTACAATTTTGGGTTATCTACCCACTTCTACTATTCAGCACAATACTAGTAGTTTATCCCCAAATACATAGTCATTTCTTAGATCATTACTTAGTACTTCTACTTGAGTAATAAGTAATAATTTTGAAGTAACAGTACTTTTACTCGAGTACAGTATTGGCTTCTCTATGTATTTCTTTTATTCTGTCAATACAAAATACAAAACGCTATTTATACAAAACAGTACTAGTATATCCTCAAATTCACTGTCATTTTTTGGACTACTACTTTGTACTTCTACTTGAAGTAACAGTACTTTTACTTGAGTACAGTTTAGCTTATCTTCCCACTTTTCCTGTTCAGTCAATACAAAATACAAAATGCAATTCATACAATACAATTCTAGCAGTATATCCTCAAATACTTCGGAATTTCTTGGATCACTACTTTGTAATTCTACTTGAGTAATTATTTTGAAGTAACAGTACTTTCATTCAAGTACAATTTTGGGTTATCTACCCACATCTACTACAGTACAATACTAGTAGTTTATCCCCAAATACACAGTCATTTCTTGGATCATTACTTAGTTCTTCTACTTGAGTAATAAGTAATAATTTTGAAGTAACCGTACTTTTACTCGAGTACAGTATTGGCTCTACACACTTCTTTTATTCCGTCAATACAAAATTAAAAATGCTATTTATACAACACAGTACTAGTAGTACATCCCTAAATACATAGTAATTTTTTGGACTACTACTTTTTAACTATAAGTAACAAGTACTTTTTACTAGAGTACAATTTAGTTCATCTTCCCACCTTTCCTGTTCAGTCAATACAAAATACAAAATGCTATTCATAAAATACAATTCTAACAGTATATCTTCAAATACATCAGAATTTCTTGGATCTTTACTTTGTACTTCTACTTGAGTAATAATTTCAAAGTAACAGTACTTTTACTCAAGTACATTTTTTGACCTCTCTACCCACCTCTGCTCTTCAGTCAATCCAAAATACAAACTGCAATACTCGAGCTCATTTGGTTCCGTTCAATCGTGCTGCATGCTCATTGGTCTACTACTATTACTACTACCGCAACGCTCGCCTCCTATTGGCCAGTCCGTTTGTGCCCGCCCCCCTTCCTCCGCCCCCTCTCCTCAGCTGGCTCTCGGGGTCGGCGGCTTTCTCCTCGGCAGAATCCGTAGCAGCCAAACCAACCGGCGGAGCCCCCGGCCGCCGCCCCCGCAGACCCGCCCTGACTCGGTAAATTTGCATGTCTGTGGTTGGGTGAATCTGTAGTCCTGTCTTTTTGGTCCCCGTGGAAACCAAACTGATCTGATCCGGTGTGAACGTGTGCCAGCCGGGTGCGTCCCTGCCCCGCTCACATGGGCACGGTGCTCGTCAAAACCAAACCTGTCAAAGTGAGATCAACATTTGGACATATTGTGTGTATTTGTAAAAATGGTGCAACAATAAAATCACAACAATTGACTCCAAATATTTGTGTACGTCTTTATTTTGTCTCTTTCGTCTCCAGTTTCAAAGGTTCTGTATTACACTAAATGGGTTGTTGTGAACTGTTTTGAGTGATTTTTGAGATTATTATGAGTTTGTCTACATCTCTGAAGCTCAAAACACTCTGATCCACCTTGTGATGTCATGAAGCGGTAGTTTTCAAATTTCCTTTTAACTTTTGTTCAGCAGTGTGAGGAAGCTGGCCAAATTTGAACCAAAAATGTATTCTTCCTTACACCATGGATTCGTGGGAAAAAAATGAAAAAAAAAATTACGTATTTCCAATAGAAATGGGCATTCGATGAAATTTTCTTAATCGATCGTCGGAAGAATTAACGATCAATTATCGATTAATCATGAACGTCTTTATATTCAAATGATCATCATTATTATTACTATCTGCACTACTAATCTGCATAAATAAATTCAACTTTACGACATATAAACCGTAACCACTCTAGAGCCACATCAGCCCGTTTCACATTATAATGTGTTTAATTCAGTTTTGTTCAACTCTCACAGAAACGAAACTTAAAACTGCATCACTAATTTGCCTAAACTCAGCGAAGATAAAAAAACAGCTCTTGTGTCGCTGATGCGGTTCAACTTCTGTCGGATTAAAAGACATGACTCAGGTGAATACAGGTTAGTGTGACCAGATTTGTGTTTGTCAAAACCAGGACACCGTACGGGGGGAGGGGGGTGGAGACTCGTCATCCACATTGCACGACTCTCACCTGGTAAAACTTTTTCCCACTGGACACTGAAACATATGTGCTGCTTTGTACACTGTAAACATGGACTCACACTTGTCCCGAACACAACGGAAAGTGTGGAATTTCTTGTACAAATCATCGTTAAATACACATTTGTGCTTCGGTACGTTGCAGACTGTTTGTGTCTCGCTCCTTCTGATGCAGAGACACATGTACAGACCTGTTTGGTCACACTACACACAACAACCTACATTCAGTTTGTCGATTAAAATTAACGTAATCGATTAAATTCTTAACGATCAATTATCGATTAATTGATTAATCATGCCCATCCTTAATTTCCAATAATAACTGTGGTTAAATAAAGACAAAAGCAACAGAAATGAACAAAATAAAGGAAAAAACCCATGTGCCAGTCGTTGAACCCCCAACTGGCTGAACTGCTCCCAATTTTTATTTCCCAGACAGGAAGTCCCTCCCCCTGGGTCAGCGCCAACACACACAGGTTAGTTTGTCTGTCAACTTTCCCTGTTTCTACAGTGTGTGGTTTATTTTCTTAACTAAACTCAACTTTCTTTAACTAAAAGTGCTCAACATAAATGAGAAACACCGAAATAACTAAATCATCCATCCATCCATCCATTTTCTTCCTCTTATCCGGGGCGGGATCACGGGGGCAGCAGTCTAACTAAATCATGCAAACAAAATCCATAAAACAAAAGAAGTGAAACCGAGTCTTCCCTCCACATGGTCTGGCCCAGAACCTCCCCCAAAGCCTTCAAATATGGCTGACGACGACCATGTGGAGGAACAGACAGGGTGGTAAGTTGTCTGTGTAACAAAATGAACAGATTTTGAAACTATGTCATGAATAGGGGTGGGTTCATATAAGTTTTTCTTCTTCCCACTCCTTTTGGAGAAATGTGCTTTTCTGTTGTTTATAATGTATATGTAGTATATATGATTATTGTTTCTCTCTTGGCACAAACTCGAAATAGAAACAAATCAATCAGTCAATCAAAATAGGGTGACATCTGTTTTTCCTCAGACATGTCTGTTTTTTGCGTCCTCAGTCGCTCAGCCTCCAACATGCCAAAACGCAACTGCACATGTAATGATGACTTTGACAAGAAATTCTGTTTTCCAGTCCAGTCGGGACAAGTGTGAGTCCATGTGCACAGGTTGTGAGGTGAGAGTAGCTCAATGTCGAGGCCCCACCCCCCACGCCCGGTAAGGTGTCCGGGTTTTCACAAATGAAAATATGGTCATCCTAAGATATAACCAAATCAAATATATTTAAAGTAACTGGTGTGAAGTGATGATCTAAACTAAACAAAGACTAAAAAAAACAAAGCCAGGATAGTCATATTTAGCTGTTTAGTTGAATTATTGATATAGATGTAAAATGAAATGAAATGTGAGTAACTATGGACAAAGGCTCTTTGTCACAAGCAGAGATCTGCAATTCCAGATCTGAAATCATCCAAGTGATTCTAGTGAAGGTGTGTGGAGTTTAAAAACACAGTGGAGCAATGACATCACAAGGTGGAACAGAGTGTTTTGTGTTTGAGAGAAAAACTCAGCCTAAATGTGCAGGGTTTGTGTGTTAAATGTGTGAAATGAGAAAAGGACTTTTAAAACAATAAAAGGAAACATGGTGAACTAAAAGGAAGGATGAAAACCTCATGATGTGACCTTTTATCACTTGTGTCCAGCTGTGATTTCAGGACCATGGAGAGAGACTTACCGTGTTATCACGGTCATCCAGCGCCTGGATTGATACAGCGCTTCATAAAGCTCTTACAACACTCCATTATTCATTGGCTAATACACTCTGCACACTTGTTATGCTCGAGGTGTGGGTCCGAGCGTCGTGACTTGCACTCAGACGATGAGTGAGTCACTCTTTTAATGACGTGAGCCTTCATTGACAAAATGGAGTAAGACTTTGGGCTACGACTTGAATGCCAATGACTTCACTTAAAGCTGCACTGTCAAACTTTTTAATTCAAATTCTTTTGTGTTATTATTTTCAAAAGACAATAGATAGAACATTCAACAGAATACAATAATAAACATGAAAAAGGTCAGTCCACCTCAGTTCACCCAGTGAGCATTTTTACAGTGAGTGGGGCTGCCTCTCCACAGATCTGACCTGCAGCTTTAGCTGCAGCTTCATCCCCAGTTTAATGCCATATTGTGAAACATTCAATGTAATAACTTGGGTCCTCCCTCCAGAGGTGGGACCAAGTCGTGTTTTGCAAGTCTCAAGTCTTTGACCTCAAGTCCGAGTCAAGTCCCAAGTCAAATACAAACAAGTCCAAGTCGAGTCTCGAGTCACTAGCCCATAAGTCCCAGTCAAGTCATTTCAAGTCATTTCAAATCTTTAAACCAAAATACTAAATATAGCTTAGATTTTGCAATTATATGCATTTTAAAAAATTGTACTTATAAAATTTTTTGTAAATTGTATAGTATATTTATATATGAGTATTTATAGACTATATAGAGTTGTGAAATGTAATTTTCCTTTTAAATGTCTTGACATGACTTTGAGTGAATCATACAGTCAGAAAATGAATTCGATATAGCAAAAATACTACAGTGACTTGACTTGGACTTGAGAAGCACTTTTAAATCTGAATTCATTTTATTCTGACTGTGATGATTCACTCAAAGATCATGTCAAGACATTTAAAAAGGAAAATTAGCATTTCTACAACTCTTATATAGTCTATAAATACTCATATATAAATATACTATACAATTTACAATTACAATTTTTATAAGTACAATTTAGTTTAAAATGCATATAAATTGCAAAAATCTAAGCTATATTTAGTATTTTGGTTTAAAGATTTGAAATGACTTGAAATGACTTGACTGGGACTTATGGGCTAGTGACTCGAGACTCGACTTGGACTTGTTTGTATTTGACTTGGGACTTGACTCGGACTTCAGGTCAAAGACTTGAGACTTGCAAAACTACGACTTGGTCCCACCTCTGGAGGGAGGACCCAAGTTATTGCATTGAATGTTTCACAATATGGCATTAAACTGGGGATGAAGCTGCAGCTAAAGCTGCAGGTCAGATCTGTGGAGAGGCAGCCCCACTCACTGTAAAAATGCTCACTGGGTGAACTGAGGTGGACTGACCTTTTTCATGTTTATTATTGTATTCTGTTGAATGTTCTATTCTATTGTCTTTGAAAATAATAACACAAAAGAATTGAATTTAAAAGTTTGACAGTGCAGCTTTAAGTGAAGTCATTGGCATTCAAGTCGAGCCCAAAGTCTTACTCCATTTTGTCAATGAAGGCTCACGTCATTAAAAGAGTGACTCACTCATCGTCTGAGTGCAAGTCACGACGCTCGGACCCACACCTCGAGCATAACAAGTGTGCAGAGTGTATTAGCCAATGAATAATGGAGTGTTGTAAGAGCTTTATGAAGCGCTGTATCAATCCAGGCGCTGGATGACCGTGATAACACGGTAAGTCTCTCTCCATGGTCCTGAAATCACAGCTGGACACAAGTGATAAAAGGTCACATCATGAGGTTTTTCATCGTTCCTTTTAGTTCACCATGTTTCCTTTTATTGTTTTAAAAGTCCTTTTTTTCACATTTAACACACAAACCCTGCACATTTAGGCTGAGTTTTTCTCTCAAACACAAAACACTCTGTTTCACCTTGTGATGTCATTGCTCCACTGTGTTTTTAAACTCCACACACCTTCACTAGAATCACTTGGATGATTTCAGATCTGGAATTGCAGATCTCAGCTTGTGACAAAGAGCCTTTGTCCATAGTTACTCACATTTCATTTCATTTTACATCTATATCAATAATTCAGCTAAACAGCTAAATATGACTATCCTGGCTTTGTTTTTTTTAGTCTTTGTTTAGTTTAGATCATCACTTCACACCAGTTACTTTAAATATATTTTATTTGGTTATATCTTAGGATGACCATATTTCATTTGTGAAAACCCGGGACACCTTACCGGGCGTGGGGGGTGGGGCCTCGACATTGAGCTACTCTCACCTCACAACCTGTGCACATGGACCTCACACTTGTCCCGACTGGACTGGAAAAACAGAATTTCTTGTCAAAGTCATCATTACATGTGCAGTTGCGTTTTGGCATGTTGGAGGCTGAGCGACTGAGGACGCAAAAAACAGACATGTCTGAGGAAAAACAGATGTTTGGTCACCTTATTTTGATTGACTGATTGATTTGTTTCTATTTCGAGTTTGTGCCAAGAG